GGGGGGGTTACAGCGCTTCCTGGAGACAGATTGTATGTCCACGGCACACCGCAAGGACACCTGGGCCAGGGCCTTCCCAGGAGGAGGGGCAGGCTGCTATCACATCAGGAGATGGGCCCTTGAGCCTGTTCGGGGTCCTTTTTGTTGAAGCATACGCTTCTCAGAAGCCAGCAGCTCCACAGAAACGGCCCAGGAGGGAGTGAGCGCCCCAACTCCGGGCAGCAGGCTGTTGGTGCCAAGGTGAACTCAGGCATATTCCCGACCTTCGTGGAAGCTGGAGATGTGGCCTGGGCCTTTCACAGGCAGCCTGTCCACCCTGAGGCCAGCCTCGCTGGACCATGGCCATCTCTCCTCCCGTGCCCTACTCAGGAGCCCCGTCTCCCGGGGATGCTTCTGTGAATTCCATGAGGACAGGCATGTGCTCGCTATCCCTCTCCCCGGGCCGGTCCGGGGCCAGAGCCATGTTCTCCGGGGAGGCTCTGGGGTAGGGGGGCCCTCTTTGTGGCTCCCAGCTTCTGGTGGCCCCGGGACCTTCTCGGTGCCTATGACTTCCGGAGACGTCTCTCCATGGTCTCTCCATGGTCTCAGATGGAATAGGTTCCACCCCTCTCCAATACGACCTCACATGAACCCGGCCACAACTTCAAAGACATGCACCTGCATAGGGCCCAAGGGGTGGGGGGCGGACTGCCACAGACTCCTTTGGGACACCCAAGTGACCCACCAGACATACTGTGACCAGCTCGCCAGGTCTCTATTGGGTGGAATTCCAGCTGTTTAATGACCAAGGAGGCTGCTGTGAGCAGCCTCAGACACGCTGCTCCGTGAGCCATAAAGGCAAGCTCTCAGTAGTGGGGTCAATGTACCCAAAGGTTTCCAAAGGCCGGGAGAGGTGGCCCTCCACAAACATGGGTCAACGCTCCCTCCCTGGAGGCGTGATGGAGGTGCCGGCTCATGCTTGGTCCAAACTAAACCCCCATTGCCACCAAGTCGGTTCTGAAG